AAAAAAAAAAAAAAAAAAAAAAAGCCTCCGGGGGACATGGAGGACGAGCTTCTGGTTGAATTGTGGGGATCCCCGGAGGGAGATCCCACTAGCCATGTATTTGGAGTAGTGTAGAGGGCGTGTGACCCGCCTCCGCCGTCGATGGGAATGGGGATCTGTGGTTTTGTTTTTCCTGTATTTTAGCAGTCGAAAATTAATGTTTTTTTGGAGCATCCCATTGGGTGGTCTTTCTTTTGTTTTGCTTGCCGTGTTCCTCTTGGGGTCCCGAACGTGAGTGAAAATCAGACCCATTTTTTTTGTGTTGCTTTTCACTCATTTTTCACTCACCTTTGGGTCGTGGCCCATGCGTGGAAGAGAGGCTGAAAACGAAATATTTCGGTGTTTCGCATCATGAGGGAATGCCAGTCCGTGTCAGACCCTCGTCCAAGTTGTCTGTAGTCCCCGCAAATGTTTCACATGGGCAATGCTGTTGTCCTCTTCCTTTGACATGCATGTGCCCCCTTTTTTTTTGAGAGGGTTTGGGAGGGTTCGATCCCCTCACCTACAGCAAATGGTGTATGGAATTACTCTTGCCCTTGTTTTTTTACGTTTATTTTCCCTATTTCACGCTGCCACCCTCCTGTCCCCCACCCGTCCCCCACCCGTCACACTAATCCACATACCTGGCTAGCGGGATCTCCCTCCCGGCCTCGAATTGCTTCAAGAAATGAAAGGAGACTGGTTAAAAAAAAAAAAAAAAAAAAAAAAGAGGACGAGCTCCGCCGGCAAAACCTAATCGTGACAAAGGGCCTGACCCGACAATACTTTCCAAAAAAACTCGAAAAAGAAAAAAGAAAAAAGAGGTTCCAAAAAAGCCGGGAGTGCGTCGGGGAGCAGAAGAGCAAAAATGGTATCCCAGGCGTTCGGGACATCCGTAAAAATTGGAACGGTACAGAGAAAGACGATTACCTTCTTCCCCCGAATACAACGGACGGTCATTTTCGCTGCATCTGGACTGAAAATGTGAGGCAAATACGGCCGTAATGACCGGACGTTCTATTCGTCGGGGGGGGGGGGAAGAGGATTACAGTAGCATGGCCCCTGCGCAAGGATGACACGCATAGATCGAGAAAGGGTCCAAACTAGATATGTTCCATCATGACGTGGCAGAACGCCAGTTAAAAAAAAAAGTGAGGTGAGAGGAAAATATAATGGGGGCAGCCAGCGCTCAACCTGTCATCCACGTGGCTGGCCTTGTACGTAAGAGGTGATGAACAGGTGGGGCTTTCCTTCCTTCCTTCTTTTCCTTTCCTTGTTTTGCTTTTTTCCGCCTTCGCGCTCTGAATTTCAGTGTGACAATATATATATGTCGGTGAAACTCCGACGAAACAGTTTGTCACAGCCCCTCGTTTGTTGTCCTCTTCTCTCTTTCTGCCTACTATTTACCGGGCAGTTCTGTTTGTGACGATATATAGATGAGTCGGTGAAACTCCGACGAAACAGTTTGTCACAGCCCCTCGTTTGTTGTCGTCTTCTCTCTCTCTGCCTACGGTTTACCGGGCAGTTCTATTTGTGACTGCGAACGGCCCCTCCTTTGTCTTCGTTGTCTATATTGGGACCTCGGCAGGCTCCTTCGTTGTCTATATTGGGACGTCGGCAGGCTCGTTCATTCTCTCCTTCTCCCAGTCCCCCTTCCTCTCGACGTCGTGTTGATG